AGAAGAAGAAGAAGAAGAAGAAGAAGAAGAAGAAGAAGAAGAAGAAGAAGAAGAAGAAGAAGAAGAAGAAAGCAGTATAATTGAGTATTGAGGTGAAATCTCCTGGGAAATGTTTCCTCTGAGTGAGGATATACAATGTATATTCAAAGGTGGCCAAGGCCAAGGTTGTGTCTTGCGCTGGCAACTGGACTTGCTAGTGTAAGAATCACCCAGGTTGTACGGGTTTTGAAGACAAGAAGGAGTCATGGACAGCAGCTGAAGCTTTGCATTGTGTGATTGTGTGGCAGGCCTGGGGTCCCCAAAGAGAATCTAAGAGAAGTTATTGATAAAAGTGTGTCTCAGTTGCAGCAAGAGACTCCAGAATTTTGGAGGTGTCAGTACTGTGGGGCAATCAACAAGAACAGCAGCAGCAGTAGAGTAGAATCAGCCAGAGCCTAGAAGACAAGCTGTGTGTGCTATAGAGCACAGAGCCAGAGAAGTAACTCAAGCCCTTTGAAGACGTCCAGAAGATTATGAGTGAATTTCAGTATTGGTCATCAAGTTATTTAAACTGTTGGAGTTTGGTTTTTCTTTGTTCAGATTGTGACTGTGCCATAATTCTTTCCTGTTGAAGTAAAGTATTTAACTTACATTTTTTTTAAATAGGAGTCTGCACTTGAGAAACTTTGAACTTTTTTTTAAAGATATTTTATTCACATTTCAGATGTTATCCTCTTTCCTTTCTCCTGCACCCAGAAACTCCCATCCCATCTTCCCTCCTCCTGGTTCTATGAGGATGTGCACCCACCCACCCACCCCCCACTCCCACCTCTCTACCCTCGAATTCCCCACACTGGGCATCCAGCCTTCATGGGACCAAGGACTTCCTCTCCCACCTATGCCTGACAAGGCCATCCTTCCCTACATATACAGATGGAGCCATGAGTCCCTCCCTATGTGCTCCCAGGCTGGTGTTTAGACCCTGGGAGCTCTGGTTGGTTGGTATTGTTGCTCTCCCCATGGAGCCACAAACCCTTTCAGTTCCTTCAGTCTTCACTCTAACTCCTCTATTGGGCACTCCTTGATCAGTTAAATGGTTAGCTGTGAGCATTTGCCTCTGAATATGTCAGACTCTGACAGACCTCTAAGGAGAAAGCTGTATCAGGCTCCTCTCAGCATGCACTTCCTGACATCCACATGAACACCTTTGGTGACTGCACATGGGATGGATACCCAGGTGGAACAGTCTCCAGTCGGCCCCTCCTTCAGTTTCTGTCCCACATTTTGTTTCTATAGTTGCTCCCTTGAGTATTTTGTTACTCCTTTTAAGAAGGACCAAAGCATCCGTACTTTGGTCTTCCTTCTTCATGAACTTCATGTGGTCTGTGAGTTGTATCTTGGGTATTGCTAGCTTCTAGGCTAATATCCACTTATCAGTGAGTGTTCTTTTGTGATTGTGTTACCTCACTCAGGATGATATTTTCTAGTTCCATCAATTTACCTAAGAATTTGTAGAATTCATTGTCTTTAATAGCTGAGTAATACTCCATTGTGTAAATGTACCACATTTTCTGTATCCATTCCTCTGTTGAAGGACATCTGGGTTCTTTCCAGCTTCTGGACGTTATAAACAAGGCTGCTATGAACATAGTGGAACATATGTCCTTGTTGTATGTTGGAGTAACTTCTGGGTATATGCCCAGGAGTGGTACAGCTGGGTCCTCAGGTAATGCTATGTCCAATTTTCTGAGGAACCACCAGACTAATTTCCAGAGTGGTTTCACTATCATGTAATCTCACCAACAATGGAGGAGTGTTCCTCTTTCTCCACGTCCTCACCAGCATCTGCTATCACCTGAGTTTTTGATCTTAGCCATTTAGACTGGTGTGAGGTGGAATCTCAGAGTTGTTTTGATTTGCATTTCCCTGATGACTAAGGATGTTGAACATTTCTTAAGGTGCTTGTCGGCCATTGGAGTTTCCTTAGTTGAGAAATCTTTGTTTAGCTCTGTACCCCATTTTTTAGTGGGTTATTTGGTTGTCTAGAGCAGGTGTACTGGCTGGTTTTGTGTGTCAACTTGACACAAGCTGAAGTTATCACTGAAAAAGCCTTCCTTGAGGAAATACCTCCATGAGATCCAGCTGTAAGGTGTTTTCTCAATTAGTGATCAAGGGTGGAAGAGCCCATTGTGGGTGGTGCCAACCCTGGGCTGTTAGTCCTGGGTCCTATAAGAAAGGAAGTTGAGCAAGCCAGGGGAAACAAGCCAGTAAGCAGCACTCCTCTATGGCCTCTGCATCAGATCCTGCCTCCAGGTTCCTGCCCTAGGGAAATATAAACCAAATAAATGATTTTCTTCTCAAGTTGCTTTTGGTCATAGCATTTCCACATAGCAATGGAAAACCTAAGACATTCTGGAATACACCAAGCACTTGAATTCCTTCTTGAACAATAGTTGGTTCTGAATTCCATGAATAGTTTAGAAGAGCTATTCTTACCTGATTGGTGTGTCTCTTCAACTAGATTTATTTAATAACTGTAGTCAGTTGTATTTATCTGTGTATCAATTATGCTTAGAAAGTATAAAGTGGTAGCTACCAATAAATGTTTGATAAATACAATATATGAATGTGTATGTCGGTTATAGATGGCTTCTAGAAGGAATGTTAGAAGCTTGGTCTTCCAGCTTTTATGTTTTATAAAATAAAACCAGTGCCTGGTGATGGTTTGAACATTCCGGTTTACAGCAGTAAGGCTTCAGGGCAAGAACACAAGATTCTCTGCTTTCCACTTAGAAGCCTTTCTGCTGCTTGACTCCTGCCTGACTTGGAAATCGGCTTGGAAAGTTTGACTCATTTTCCCAATGTTTTCTACATAGTACTTCTAACTTCTGTGGTGATGACATTGAAGCTTTTAGAATAACTGAAAAAAAGCACTTACAACTTAAGCCGCCCAATACCAATAGCAAACCTGTAGCCTCTCAGATGGCTCCTTGCCTGGTTTGTAGTCCATCTCTTTTGTATAACAGAAGTACCATGTGGCAATTAGTTAAAAATACTGTGGAGCCCATGTTGGATCCAGGTTCCATATTTGACTTTTTATTAATGAATTACAGGATTTTCTTTTGTAAATAAATTCTAGAGATAAGTCATTTGTCATAGAAATAGATGATATATTGGCAAATAATAAATAATAGACAGATGGATGGATAGATAGATAAATAGATAGATAGATTTTCTCCTAGAATATGTCTTACCTTTTCATTTTCTTCCTAGTGTTTTTGAAGAGCAGAATTACTAATTTTGGATGGAATCCTATTGACTTCTTTTTTTTTTCTTTTTGGTTCGCCCTTTCTCTACCCATAAGAACCTTTTGTTATCTAGTGCTTATGAAAACATCTCTGATGTCTTCTGTCAGAATGTTCATAATTTTTATCCTTTACTATTTGGGATTCATCTTAAATTAGTTTTTTGAATACCACAAGCCAGGGTGTGGTCACATTTGTTATGCCATGGACACAAATATTACGTGTCTATTTCCTCTTAGAAAGACTTCTTTCAAATTCATCATATATATGAATTTACTTCTTGATTTTCTGCTCTGATTATCATTTTCCCAAGCCCATTCTTTCTTTATTGTTTTGGCTTTCTCATAGATCTTTAGAGTCTTATATTGCGTTTCTTTCTTTCAAGTTATTGTTACTATTTCAAATCTTTTCATATCTATATAAATTTTAGAATTGGCTTGTAAATTATACCATTTAATTCATGGAGACTTTAGATCAATTTCAAGGTCACAGGTATCTAATCAGTATTATTTTCTATTGGAGAATTCTAGATTTTCCTCTCTATTCATTTCAGTTACTTCCATTTTGCTCAGCGATGATCTGATGCTTTCATTTGAGATGTCATGAATCTTGATACACTTTTTTTCTATTATATTTTTATATAATTATGTTTTTCATTGTAAAGACAAAACCCTACTATTTTATGTCAAGATTGCCAAGTTCCAATTGCAGTTCAATAAACGATAGCTGAAGTTTATTAGTGTTTGAATATTGGTATGCTATTATACCATTATATTATTGGTATATTATTATGCTATTGTATTATGACAGCATGATAGTTATTTATCCTTTTAGACCACCAAAAACAAATAAGATGTAAGTAAAACAAATCAGTCACATAAAGGAATATATGTTACTGTTTGGAAAGCCACCAATCCTGTGTTAAATTTAGGATGAGCCACATTATTCAACT